TAAAGAAAATTGGCAAGCTGAAGTAATTCGATAAATAGATTCCACATGAACTAAGTGAGTTCGACGTTTGGGTTTCTGTATCTACGAAATTCAAATGATCCATTCTTTGACTGGATATGCCATGAGAAATAGATGCTTTATGAAAATCGTAAATGATCGACTCAATTGCTTGATCATGAGATAGATCAAAAACGCTTTTCGAAACCAAAATTGCACCAACAGAAGATTATGAGAAGTATCCGGTGATCCATAATTGGCGTCGTCCATAACAGCTTTCGGAAATCTAACCAGAGCATCACTGCTGAAGTTTAATGCTAGTGTAGTGACTACTCCGATTTACCACGCCCACAAAATTTTCAGTTATAATTGGATAGAAAATAAGTACTGTTTACTACAGGACAATTTACCTATCGCAGTAAGCGCACAAATTTTTTCTGCCATGACTTTGCCTAACTTGGTTTTGTAAAAAAATCAGTGATTGGTCAATTTTTATCCAATCGTGTATTTTAGATATTCCTTTCGAAATTTTTCCCGCTTCTCTCTGGAGCCTACCCAAAAAGGAGTTTAAACAGTTCGTACTCCATAAATAGATTAGTACAACAATAAATCAGCAGAACTCAGCAACGCACGCGTATCTACATTCTTCTATTCACGCACACACAGACACAGAACTACCATTACTCTAAACTGTTAACTGTCTGTCACAAGCCAAGTCACAAACCAAATTCTATTATCCTTTTTATACAAACTTTTCATTCTTGAATTCAAATCTTATTCACTAAACTCTGAACATTTCAACAAGAAAGTTCTTAAATACATTATTCCTATCTTGCATCAGATATCATTAGAAGGGAAGCTACTTTTCTCTCCCTAAATATTACTACATAACCACAATTGTTGTACTTGTTGATTTTCAATATATATTTTTTTTTATTGTTGAATGCAATTTGATCTCTTGTTCATCTTTCCTTGTGTTCTTTGCAAATTTAAATGTATGTGCTCTCACTAAAAACACAGCCTCACTAACAACCTCATTAACAATTTTAAAAACAAATCTGAGCAGCACACCACACTAGAAACTGGATGAAATAAAAATTTGGTTAAGCAAAATGAAACTGGTTAATCGAAGAGGTCCAATAAGGCTCCATGACAATGCACGGGCACATGTTTCGAGGAGGACACTGTAGAAGGTCACCGACTTCGGATACAACATCCATCAGGTTTTCCTAATCTATCGCCCACTGACTCCCACATTTTCAAGCATCTTGATAATTTTTTTAAACAAAAAGATATTGCGTTGCAAAGAAGATGACGAAACTGTATTCAAAGTGTTATGGATTCCGGGATGAAATCCGGTCTCAAATGAATCCGGTCTCCAATGAATGACAAACGCAGGAATGAAATATAGCAAATAAATGTATTGACGTAATAATACACTTGGTAATACGGTTAGTAGATCCAGAAATGCGGTTAGTAGTAATAATAATATATATATACAATCAGGGAAATTCAGTATCGAAGTATGACTTCCTTCTGAGTCAACGTGCTCGCAACTGTGACTCCTACAAAGCGGTTCCCCCACACTCTCATTCTCTTACTTCCTCGCTGTATCACTCCGTCTCTGTTACTCCCGGGTATTCACCGGCAGCAGTACAAGTATACACTGGTCGAGTCCATGAAAAAGGGGTGGACCCTATAACACAAAGATTTCTTGGCTTTCAAGCCTCTGGATTTATATTGTAAAGGCATGAATAATCTTACAACTCGATGGCAGAATTATATACATGCTTAGTGTTTCTCTTTTGACTGATTTAAAGACTGTTTAAATACTTTAACTCTAGATTAATTTTTGATCCTAAAAACGTATATTTTTCCCCCGAAGAAGCTAATAAATCTGAGTGTTAAAATTATTATTATTTACATTCGGACTAATGCCTTTATATCTGGATTAACGTCACACCCCTTTGGCCGTTCTGCCATCTGACCTTCTTCGGATATCTATTGAGGCGAGTAAACTTTATGAAATTTGGAACTGAACCTTTTAATTAATCTACGGGTAGATCATTGACGTGCTGCTGGGCGTGTCTAGAAACAACTTGTCTTGTGTTTGTGTTTCAGTATTGCTCAGTTATCGACACCTGTGCTTTTTACAACTATACAGATAATAATTCTGCGTGACGCTTCCTTCCTTAATTAGCACGTACCTGACGACCTGCCAATACCTTCATAAATAATGGACTATTCCACTTTGATCTGGTGGAAAGACAGAAAAGACATATCAGCAACGCTACATGCTTCCAATGATAAAATGAAAGCAAGAAAGTTATGCCCTGCCAATACCTGATAAATAACAGACTATTCCGGTTTTTATCGCGTGGAAAGAGGGAAAAGATCTATCAGTGACGCTACTTGGTTTCAGAGATAACACGAAAGAAAGAAAGTTACGCCCTGACAATATCTCATAAATAATGGACTATACTGTTTTATATAGCGTGGAAAGACGGAAAAGACATATCAGGGACGCTATTTGGTTTCAGTGAGAAAACGAAACAAAGAAAGAAAGGAGGTTACAACCTGCCAATACCACATAAATAATGGACCGTTCCGTTTTGATCGCGTTAAAAAAAGTGGAAAATTCATATCAGGGATGCTAACTGTTTTCAGTGAGAAAATAAGAAAAAGAAAGAAAAAAGAAATATACCAGAGGTGATAACACATCAAGATATTTACCGCCTGCTTCAGTGAAAGTGAAAAAGTTATCAATTTCAAATTGTTTCATTTGTACCCCTTCTTTTCTTAAAATAAAGACAGACATTTATATTTATGATTGTTGCTGCTTTATTTTCTTGAAATTCTGAATTTAAAATATTTAACGACGCGGTAGGGCAATTTCTACGGATATTTTATTGTCGTAGAACATTAATTTAAGAATTAAAATTCATTAGAAAATTCAAATAGAATTTCAATCTGTATTTCTAGTACAGATGAAGAACTAAAAAAAACATTCTCAATTTAACTCTTTCTATAATCGAACAGTCTTTTTCGTTTACTATTTCTCATTCGAAATCTGGTAATAAATCGTGATATTTGTAATCACATTGTCAATAATGTAACTATGCTTTTTTAAAAATTTTCTATTCTTTCGATCATCAAATAATGTCCCGTTGTTATAAAACAAGAAATTAAATCGAATGGGGTAAACCTATCATCGTAAAATTTATGGGAATTCAAATTATAATGAATTTAACAGAATATTAAGTTAAGAGGCTTTGGTGTCAGCTCGTTTGAAATATGCAATGGTCTCTTGGCGTCCGGGTAGCGGTTGGAGGAAAATTTCATTAAATTTGCAATTCTTTAGCTGTTTGATGTCTATAAATCGTACTGGAAAAGAGAATGATTCATTTAATGATTTAAAGCAAGGGCAGTAATAAAAGTGGATAAAAGAAAAGGGTATAAATGTTGGGCAAATGATATGAGGAAATCTCAAGAATAAAAGGGGAAAGAGAAATATAGAATAATGATAATGATGGAAATTACGAAAATTACAACCAACCGTCATCTCGACTGTAAGATATTATATGTAATTAAAAATGACACATTCCGGAAAGACATGATTTAAATTCAGTGATTTCCATCCCTGATACAAGAGGACATTCAAGGCTAGAGCATCTAGTTTGCCCTGAAATTTAATCCAGATGAAGAAGATGAACTTTCTGAACAGTGAAGATTTTATTCGATAGAACATTTCGCTGTTAGTGCAAATCGAAATGATATAAGGAAATTGAGTTTATTAATTGTTAAATAAGTTTAGTTTGGCAATATTTTGGGAGTGATATTTTTTTAAATTTTTAATAGTGTTTAAGTTTAACATTTAAATAAGAATGAAAAAGAATCCTATTATGAGATTGCTTACGGCAATATCATGTTAACACACAGTTCCTGTACAATCAGCGAAGTTAAGTAAAATTTATCCTGGTCAGTATCTAGATGGGTGATCGCTTGGGAATACCAGGTGCTATAACCTTGGATGTACGGCTGGATTAATGGATACTTAACTCGGAATTGTTAATTGGAGAGCTAGGTCTAAATCCATCTGGGATCATTATATTCTCTTACGTGTAAACACACTTGAGGAAGGCATGAATCCACCACTTCTCCCCCCACCAGCTATGAGCTAATTAGTAAGACTTGTATCACTAAATAATTATTACCTAAAAAAAATTCTTACAATCTAAAATATTTTATAGTTTTAAATAGCCTACACGGCGTCTCGAATTGAGAAATCGAAGAACCGAGTTCGAATTCAAGTCGAATCCATTACATTCACTTACGTGTTAATACCCTTGGGAAAGGTATGTCCTCTTCTTCTTCAACAAGCAGGACAGACCAGGCTCTATATTCTTGGATGGTAACTTGTCTACCGCAGAAAGAATTGGCAACCTACTCCGGGCAAAAACTGCCTTGTCAGTCATGTATCGAAAGATATATGATTGCCTCAGCGTGTATCAAGCATGGAATATAACTGGCTGACACAGGGTTGATAAACCGTAAAAAACCATTCATTCAATCAATATTATGATGGTGACACAAATTAAAATGGTGGCAATTGAAAAGAAGAAGAAGAAGAAGAAGAAGAAGAAGAAGAAGAAGAAGAAGAAGAAGAAACCAAGTTTAGAACAGGCTCTGTTGTTTGGTTCAAAGGAAGGGTTATTCTGAATGCAAAACTGTTTCGGTGAGGTGTTATCAAATCAATCAAGCTACTTGCTACTGAAACCACGACAGCGCAACCTAGTATGGAAAATGAAAAAATATGCATTATAAAACTTAACCCTTACTGCAGCAGCCATTTTGGTTCTGCTCGCAAAGTCGTACCCGATTAGCAATTTGAGTGTATTTGTTATTGGCCAAAATCAATTTCGGTTAAAGACAATGACTTGTGAGGTAAATTATTTGAAATAATGAAATGAGGTCAGAGGAAGAAATAATGATGACGAACACGATCATGACGGTGATTTTAAAGAAAGAACGAAAGAAAGAAAGAAACTAACAAAGAAGGAAAGAAAGGAAAAAAGAGAGAAAGAAAGAATGAAATAACAAAACAAAGAAGTAAAGAAAGCAAAAAAAAAAATGAGAAAGAGAAAGAAAGAACCAAACAAAGAAGGAAAAAAGAAAAAAGGAAGAAACAAAGAAGTAATGAAACCAAAAAGAGAGAGATAGAAAGAAAGAAAGAAAGAAAGAAAGAAAAAAAAGAAACAAACAAACAAACAAAGAAGGAAAGAAAGGAAAAAAGAGAGAAAGAAAGAATGAAATAACAAAACAAAGAAGTAAAGAAAGCAAAAAATGAGAAAGAGAAAGAAAGAACCAAACAAAGAAGGAAAAAAGAAAAAAGGAAGAAACAAACAAGTAATGAAACCAAAAAGAGAGAGATAGAAAGAAAGAAAGAAAGAAGAAAAAAAGACAGAAAGAAAAACCAAACAAAGTAGCAAAGAAAGGAAAAACAGAAAGCTCAAGAAAGAACCAAACAAAGAAGGAAAGGAAGCGAAAAGAAAGAAAGAAAGAAAGAAAGAAAAAGAAATAAATAAACAAATAAAGAAAGGAAGAAAACGAAAAATGAAAGAAGGAAAGATAGAAAAAGAAAGAATGGAAGAAAAAAAGAAGAAAGTTAAAATAAAAGAAAGAAAAAGAAAGAAAGCAAGAAAAATGAAAGAAAGAAAGAACAAGAGGGGAAAGAAAAAGAAAAGAATCATGATGAAAGAGATTTGACAAAGAGAGTCACAGAAATGGTAATGGCGCATATTGATATATTTGAGGAAGAAAATAGATTAAAATGTTTATAGATAAGAAAAAGGAATCATTGGAAAATGTTGAAAGGCGTGGGTCAAGTAAAGATAAGAATAAGAACGTATTTATTCATATCAGAAATGGAGAAAAGTTGTCTGCCAATCATTGCATTAGTGAACATTATATGTTGGAAAGATCGTTCTTGTGGAGTCTACTGGAAAACAAACTGAAAGGAAATAGATTCGTCATGGCGATAATTTTGAGTATAAAAAGGAGAAAAAATTATTATTATTATTATTATTATTATTATTATTATTATTATTATTATACTTTCGTTTGCAATCAATCTCAATTTCTCTAGTTTGGATTGTCCCCGACAAATGATAGAGTGTTTCCTGCCGAAAATATATTTCAATGCCTCGGAAAATTACAGCGTTATTTTTCTATTTGTAATCCGTTTAATTTGTTTCTTTTCTTTCTTCCGTTTTTTTTTTTTTTTTTGAGAATATTTATTCGATCGATTATCCAATTCCGTGTTTATTCACAGTTTATTTAAAATATTGCCTAGCTTATTTCTGTATAAAGACGAGGATCTTCATTTGTAAAATCAAGGAAAATCTAAATGGAAAACATTCGTATAGATAGATAGATGAATGGACATTCGAATGGATAGATAGATGAATGGACAATAAGCTAAATATTGCTAATATCGATGTTGTTCATCAGAGATAGATAGATAGATAGATAGATAGATAGATAGATAGATAGATAGATAGATAGATAGATAGGCGAACAGATGGAAATGGAAAGACAAATAGATAAGAGACAGACTGTATATATAGATAGATAGATAGATAGATAGATAGATAGATAGATAGATAGATAATGGATTTTCTGACAGAGAGAGAGAGAGAGAGAGAGAGAAGTACATGAAAAAACCAAGATAGATAGATAGATAGATAGATAGATAGATAGATAGGCGAACAGATGGAAATGGAGAGACAAATAAATAAGAGACAGACTGTGATAAATAGGTATGAGAATAGATAGATAGATAGATAGATAGATAGATAGATAGATAGATAGACAGACAGACAGATAGATAGGTCAGTTATGTGCCATGCATGATACCCGATAAAGCAATCATGTATCTTTCGATACATGACTGACGAGGCAGATTTTTCCCGCAGCAGGTTGTCATTTCCTTCTACGGTAAACGAGTTGCCATCCAAGGCTCTAGAACCAGGTCTGTCCTGCTATTTACCCATAGCTGGGGGAGAATAAGAGGATTCATACCTTTCCAAAAGGTATTAGCATGTAAATGAATGTAATGGATTCGACTGGAATTCGAACTCGGCTCTCCGATTCCTCGATCCGAACCGCTATCCATTACATAAAGATAGATTAACTGAGAATGATATATAAAAATTTGGAAGATGCCAGATAGATAGATATGAAAATGGTGAAATATATATATATATATAGTGTGTGGCATCAGTCGGTTTCAACTTTTGTGCCCAAAGAGATATGCCTCAGCTGCTGATGGCGGTGCAGCATCTGTTATCGTTGTAATGGCCCACACGGCAGTCGCAGTCAATGAATTCACGTGAAGATTCTGCCTGCCCGATTCGATTCCACTCCCTGTTTTCACATCCATATCCACAAACCCGTTGTTGAAACGTTTCAGAAAAAAAGGTTATAACAGAACAAATGGTGCAAAGTGTGACCAAAAAATAGCAAAGGAAGATATGGCGATTTTCTAAGCGTAGACCGAAAATATGGGGCAACTAGTGAGGATCGAACACAGGAATCAGTCGTAAATCTTCTCGCGGGACAAGTTTTGTAATTATTACACCACGTGAAGATGTCCAGGACTCCTTATATAATATCGTAAAGGAATTTAACCTCTCAAAAGAATGTCAAAGCCGAAAGGCTGTACAGGCATATAAAAATACCCTTCCCGGAAGCACATGTTTTGATTTCACAGATTTAGTATCGAAGAACTAAACTACATACACATATAATTTGAATAAAGTGCTGAATGCTTGTGTATGCGCCAGCCATGCTTAGCGGAAGAACTGAGAACAGACAAATGGGTTCAGTGCCGTGAAGTCTCCAAACTATCTTCTCCATATCTTATTGCCAGGGAAAGTTTAAACAGTCTGATTGGAAACAGGCAAACACTTTTACAGAGAAGATATTATTGGTCCTGGCCTGGCGTCTCGACTTCCGTCACTTTCCCGCCACCATAATGTAGCTTCCCTGTACCTTTTCTATAATTACTTTCATGGTGACTGTTCGAATCAACTCTGCTTTGGTACCTAGAATTTATGAGTTGAAGCGCTATGCTAGATTGGTAACACGGCCTCATCTATTCATAGTGAAATTGGCTTGACGCAATCCTAAGTTTTATTCTAACAGTTGCTTTTCTCTTATTTAACGTTTGTGAAAATCTCTTCCTGTTCCATGCTTTCTAACCTTCTTTGATATTCAAACATTTAAATGCAATGTTAATCTTTAAGAACTGTCTTTTTGATTACTCTTTTATTGTTCTCATTTCTTAATTATGTTTATCTTATTTTCTTTTTTCTTTCACCTTCTTGTGTCTCAGTGGCTTTATTACCTTGCATGGGGTGATATTATTTTTTTAAAAAAAAAGATATGAGCATAGATTGGTGATTGTCAGTTACCGAATCGGCGAGCCAAGTTCGAATTCAGGCTGAGGCTGCTGCTATCACTTTCTCACAAATCCTTTTGAGAAATGTTCGAATACATCTTTTATACCCATACCCGTGTTATGGTTTAAATTGCAGGAAAGATTGGAATCTGCTAGTCAAAAAGTCGAGGAGGAAGGTAAACTCTGAATTTAAAACCGATATGATGTGGAATTAGCTATTCGTCTTCAAGGCTTTTGAGTGCGTAAAGAAAATCTGTGTATTCTTTTTTTTTTTTAATTATTTTTGAAAACTAAACTGACTGCGACTAAGCGCAACTCCTTTGATAGCAACATGTAATAACGTGTGATATTTTTTAAAAAAAAACAATGTTTCTTCTGGATCCATAACTATAGTAATTTATTTATGGATGGTTGTTTAAATTTGATAGCAATAGCTTCTATATACATTAACCTTTTTGTAGATACATTTATAAAGTAAGCTTGCATCATCAGAAAGGATCAATCTATTATTGTATTTTTTATGGATTACTGTCACGAGAAGTTTAATTTTTTCTGAAACCAAAAACAACAGCGGTATTTGCGAAAGGATATTGTCATAAATTTCAAGATTTCTAGATATTTGAGCTAGAGGTCGTTTCATACGACACCGCAAATTATTAAATTATTTTTTTGAAAACTAAACTGACTGCGATTAAGCGCAACTCCTTTCATAGCAACATGTAATAACGTGTGATATTTTTAAAAAAAATGTTTCTTTCTTCTGGATCCATAACTATAGCAATTTTTTATGGATGGTTGTTTAAATTTGATAGCAATAGCTTCTATATACATTAGCCTTTTTGTAGATACATAATTTAAAGTAAGCTAGCATTGTCAGAAAGGATCAATCTATTATTGTATTTTTATGGCAATTTCTCCCCGCATCCTTGAATGTATATATATATATATATATATATATATATATATATATATATATATATATATATAATTATTATTTATTTTGTTTTAACACACTCTGTGTCTTATCAAGTGATGATGTTGAAAATAAAAAATGGCTATTTTTGTAGTGATTTTATAACATACTTATGTTATAATTTTTTATAAATAATAATTATATCTGCTCTACTTTGTATTGAGCACTCTTTTAAGAATAGTAATTGTTGGTTATTGGAATTCATTCCGTATATACCAATTATATACTTGATATATATATATATATGTATATATAAGGATTGCTGTCACGAGAACTTTAATTTTTTCTGAAACCAAAAACAACAGCGGTATTTGCGAAAGGATATTGTCATATAAAGAACAAATATCATTATATATATTAAACATAAATGTCTATTGCCTTAGCAATTTATGCGTGTAACTCTTTTATACCCCACCAGAGGAACCTACTAAACAGATATCTGCAATACGCCTATACGAAATTTGGCAAAGGAGATAAGAAATGTGAACATAGAATCTATGTTAAAATTTCAAGATTTCTAGATATTTGAGCTAGAGGTCGTTTCATCTGACACCGCAAATTGATACAAAATGGAAACATTAGCCTGAAATCTTGATTCATATTCTCCAATAACCTCTTCAGATCGGTATTTTAACCCTTTCAGCCCTAATCACCGGTTTACCGGTGTTAGCTAAAAATGATGTAATACCCAGCCACCGGTTAAACAGTGGTAGAGAAAAAATGATTTAATGCCCAGCTACAGTTTGAACGGTGAGTAAACACTTGTAACTGTTTTTATATCTACCGTGAAACATTATATAGCGATTATTTGCGAATTTTTACCAAGGAGCCCAGGCATGAGGTTTAAAGCTGTTCAGGAACGTCGGTCGCAAAGGGTTAAAATTGATGCCAGGAATGGAGCAAAACCCATTCAGAAATATCTCAGCTCTCAGATATTTTTGTAGCCGCTTTCTCAGATCAATTGCTAAAATGGCTTTTGGGAGGTAAAATCTGTGAATATTGACGGAGACAATCCTTCTTCGACCCTTGTGAAATGGCGTCACAGAATTCTAAATAAAGAACAGTACTAGCTTCGATACTTGTGAAATGGCGTCACAGAATCCTAAATAAAGAACAGTACCTGAAAGTACAAACCACATCATTTGAAGACTTTCAACAGCGGAAACAACCTAAATTAATATTTCATTTAACTCGAAGAGAAAATAATGACATAATCAAAATATCACACGGCTTCAAAGTAAAGGCGAGAAAGAAAGCCTGCATCAATACTGAAAAGGGCGATAACAGCCTCTGGACTAACGAATTTTCTTCTTCTGAGATAAACATTGAGGTTAAAATCTTTTAAATTTCTGCCGACAGTACTA